AATCTGAAAATTAAACTAAGGAGGCCAGAACTTCTGAACGAGGACATCCCTGCGGGAAAATACCTCGCATCTAATCATTTCGACGACTGCAGAAAAGGAAATCCCGCCATCGACTCCCCGATTATTATACCCTTGCAGAAAGTATTATAATTTTGGTCAAAAGTGTGCAACGCAGTGAAGGAGACATCTCCGACCCTATAAAGTATATATATTCTTGATCAGGATCACCTCCTGAGTTGATATGAGCATGTCCGCCTGTCCGTCTGTCTGTCTGTCCGTCTGTCTGTTTACGAACTACGCGAACTAGTCTCTCAGTTTTAAAGCTATCGACTTGAAACTTTGCACACAACCTTCTTTCCTTTGCACGCAGTATATAAGTCGGAACGGCCGGGATCAGCCGACTATATCCTATAGCTGCCATATAACTGATTGATCGGAAATGGTATAACTTCGGTGTTTTTAAAGTAGTTAGAGAGTTCAAATTTCACATGAGCGTAAAAATTTCGTAAGGATCGGCCGACTATATCCTATAGCTGCCATATAACTGAACGATCGGAAATGACCCAACTTTCGTGTTTTTGAAGATAGAGAGCTGGAACTTGGTACAGATTATATTTTTGGTCAGTTTATCCGACCTATAACTGAACGATCGGAAATGGTTTTTGGTAGAAATACCAACTTTGGTATGTTTGAAGAAGAAGTTTGGGACTTTTTTTAGATTTTTTATTGTAATAAATTGGATTATATATTCATATTCCCATAAGGAGCGGCCAACTGTATCTGATGTTTGCGATATATATCCGGTTTTAACTGCAAGGGTATATAGACTTCGGCTCTGCCCGAAGTTAGCTTTCCTTTCTTGTATATTTTTTGTTTTTATATATAGTAGTATTTATTTTATTGTGTATTTGTTTGTTAATTATTTTTTTTTGTGTTACATTTTTTTTATTTTTATTTATATTGTTTGTACGTAATTATAAGTCCTGTTTAATTTCTATTCATTTTATATCAAATTTGTGAGTTCCGGTAGCGGCTGTGGAAGCTGGAAGATCTAATTTCCCTCCACTGTATGGTTGTCCCAAATCCCAAGAGATCATAGATCAAGAGAGCTCTCCGCGTGGTGTAATAAAATTAGAAAAAGCAAAGCGCCTGAAAGCAAAGCAAATACTCCGGAGCGGATTCCGAATGTTTAAATATAAGGTTAAAAATAAAAAAAGATCAATTGAAGAAAATTAATATTGAGTAGAGCTATACGGCAGGGGGCATGAGGAAGGGCTAATGGGAAAGTAGAGGGGGGATCGGGTTTTTGACTCAGGGGCGGACGCGAGAAAAGGCCAACGTTCCGCTAAGGATGGGAGGGAAGGCCACGAAACTCCAAGTCAACAGGAGTATTAAAAATCTGTGATTCGATAGGGTAAGCATAAATGTTACGTGTGTTAGGATTAGGAGTCTTGAATCGGACTATTGTAGGAGTTTCAGTGTTGAGTAACGTCCGAGAGATCTTTGTATTTTTAGGATTAATTTATTGTTAACGGTCAGATGGGAAGGGTCAGGGAAGCCACGGCCTTGGATGAGCTATCCGGAGCCAGACCTATGCCGATAGGCGGACCGTCGGACCCGAAGTGGTCATAACACCATATTGAATAGATTTGAGAAAATATATCGGTTTATCTCTGAGTGAGAACCTTTTAGTCAAAATCCGAATAAAAAGGTTCGTTTTTGACAATTTGTCAACTGTTGGTTAACTGTTATTTGCAAGCTCAGATTTAAACGCTTGTTGCGTTTGACTTTTTGAGTTTCATAGGACTGCTTTTAATATAGGAGAATTATAAATCGTCTTTTTTAATACGAAATTAATACGAAAAATCTAAAATAATTTTGTAAGTATATAGTAAAAAAAATTGATCAGATAGGACGTCTATATCCTATAGCTGCCATCAGGGCCGTCGAGAGCCATGTCGGGCCCCGGGGCACGGATTCCTCACGGGCCCTTTTTCGTTTTCGTCTCTCATTTAAATTATACTGAAGCGTTGCACATTACAAGCTAGTTGGATGATAAAGATAAAATAAAGATAAAAATGACATTTTGAGACGGTTACTAATAAAATCACCTGGGTGGTTCCGACATTATAGTCCGTTTATTTACATATCAGAACGTATTTGGTACATTTTGGTTGAACTTTGGTTGAATATCTTCTTTGGTAGATTGATTCAATATAAACGACTAACTGACGACTAGAGTAGTGAAAACTAATTAATCCAAAAAACCTTACGAGCTTTCTGTTCAGCGAACATCGAAATGATTGCATTGAAATCGATATTACTGGTAAGTCCTGATTCGAGTGCTAGTGTGCCAAGGTTTGTTAGACGTTTTTGACTCATGGTACAACGCAAGAAATTTCTTATTCGAACTAAGAGACTGAATGAACGTTCACCTTCAGCTACACTAACGGGAATCGTACAGTATATTCTTAGTGAGATGCAGATGTTAGGAAACAGAACTTCCATCTTTACTTTATGAAGTTCATTCAGTAGTTGTAAGAATAGAATGTCGTGGAAGAATAATAGGTGGAAGAATATCGGGTCCTAAATTTGCTTCATGAATTGCCTTCAGATAGATGATTTCTTCGATTATGTCGATAGAGACATCTCCATGATAGGTCTCACAAAATGATCGTGCTTGTTGTCTCAGATCCTGTTTATTGAGTTCTCGGTATCCCCAGAAAAAACCAAATTTGACTTCAATGGCGTTTAAAGCATCGAAACGTCTGGTCATGTTGCCTATCAAGCAGTCCAAAAGAACATAAAATACTCCTTGTTTTAACTGAATCTCTGGAGTTGGGATAGCTACATCTGGAGTCGACTCATCAAACTGGCGCTTTCTCATTTTGTCCGAAAAATTACCATTTACAGCAACAATTTCACATTCACGAAGAATGACTGATCCCTCAATGCTTTCAATTCACCAACGAGACTTTCAATGTTTGCAGTCTCCACATCCAATGTTGCATTCCTTGCCTGGAGAACAAGATTTCGATGGTTTATAGCTGTTAGGACTTTGAACCAAATGGAAGCCAAAAGAGTACACTCAAAAGACTTCATGTATGTTTTAAGACCTTGCAGATCAGTCCTTGTTTCAGGAGTTAGATTTAAACAGCTAATATCGTCAATGGCCTTCAGCAACCCAGGCATGTGAGCAGCAAATGGCTTCACACAATCTACTCGAGCAGACCAACGAGTGGTGGACGTGCTGTGTGAAGAGCATCCGACTTATATACTGCGTGCAAAGGAAAGAAGGGTGTGTGCAAAGTTTCAAGACGATAGCTTTAAAACTGAGAGACTAGTTCGCGTAGAAACGGACAGACAGACAGACGGTCATGCTCATATCAACTCAGGAGGTGATCCTGATCAAGAATATATATACTTTATAGGGTCGGAGATGTCTCCTTCACTGCGTTGCACACTTTTGGACAAAATTATAATACCCTCTGCAAGGGTATTATTAGTTAATGGTGGCGTCCATGAATCGATATTGTGCTGAGCATGAGCACCGCCATGACATGGGTCAGTAATGTTCAAGAGGATGCTCTCAAGAGTATCACGCTGAATCACTCGAGCGGATTGCCAAAAATTGTAACCAGCGAACAGATATAAATGACGTTTGTAAATTAGTTTTGTAATATAAAATGACTTGTTAGTGAGATCAACCAATATCATTTTCAATATTTATTCATTCTAATTAAACATTCATATTTTTCTTTCTCAATTTTGGCCATCTAAAAAATTAGACCCCACTCCCGGGCCCCTGTCCCTTGCGGGCCCCGGGACAATTTTGAAAGTTATGAAAGGGTCTGAACTTAAGAGCAATCTAATAAATAAACCCCTATTTGAGTCAACTCGTGACATTTTCCTAGTATGATATTCTCTAAATTTTTTTATGTCTTTATTTTTGGATTCGGCAGCTTCTTCAGATAATTATTCTATCAAAACAAGCGCATAATTTATAATTTCCGGACCGTGGACTAAATCTTTGTGAACTGAAGGTGGAAGGTAATACCATGGGTATAATTTAATTAGCATTTTTGCGTCGTCAAGTGCAAAGCTTCCAAATTTTTCGGTATTTATTTTATATCCAGAAGCCATGTATTGCAGTAATGTTGCACATCTCTCTAAACATGTTCATCCATTCCTGTTGTATCAGCAGACAATTTTGTATCACTAAAAAACCTTCTTGCCGTATTACCTTCATTTAAAGTTTTCGCCGCACCATGAATTCAAAATATAAGATCGTACAAACACACACTTATAAGAAGAACCTATTAAAATTTATTACAAGGGAATATCAAACAAAATAAAAACTATGTATTAGTAAATGAACAAATAGTTTTGAAAAGGTAAACACAAGCATGCCACACGAAGCCAGGGCAACAGCATAACAAGTAAATAAACAGCTGATCTCGGGGAGTTGAAAGAAATAATTTCATTTATTTCTATAGGTGTGACATGGAGGGTCAATTGATCAAACAAAAAAATAGTCGGCCCGAAAAATTTTCGACGCGCCAGGACAAATTAAAATTAATTTCTGCGGTCAAGGCGAAGCCCATAATATGGGATTTGACCCACAAGGGTCATTTTAATGCCATAAAATGGCATTGAAATGATTTGTGATTGAGTTTGATTTTGACCCAGTTTTCTATTTCTTAATCAGCTCCTTAGCGGCGAAATACATAAACAAAACACCAACATCCAATCGTTTTGAATTCATTTTTGCTTATTTGTTTTTTGTTTACAAACAACAACTGTTCAGTATTACCTTATTTCTTTATTTTTTTGGTCACACTACCTCGGTAGTTGAATAAAGTGCAAAATCGTTATCCGAATTTCAACAGCGGATTTTTGTCAACTCAGTACTATGCTTAAATGTTCACATACAAGTCCGTTAGTATGTTTCATTTTAAATTATTTCGATTTAAAGATAAAAAGGCGCGGATTTCTGTTATCGAAAAGTTGCCTTCTCTAACATACACACAAAACTTTCTTTAGTTGTTGATTTAATTTTACTTGTTATATACTGATATTTATAAAATAAACATACATACATATAAACAAATATTCCTACGTATTTTACCAGCAAGGCTTAAAACTAAACTTAATTTTAAAACCCACGACACTCCTACAATATTGTAACCATGAATAGGTATTTTTTTATAAACTTACATACCATTTGTGTTTTATGGGTATAGTTAAGATTTCTTTTATATGTATTAATAGATTTGTAGAAGCAGATGAATATGCCAAACTTGTCGAGAACGAATTGCCAGAAAACGTGTTACAGGCACTTTCTAAACCTGTAAATAATGTGGGCTATAGGTACTGTATTGACATTGCTTGCATTATTTTATATTATATGAATTACTTTTTTAGCATGGGCTACGAGAAGTCCATCGTGCAAAATATAAACGCAGACCAAGATCCAATAAAAGATATGCATTCTTTAAATGAATTGTCGTTACAAGTGGAAAAAAAGACAGGGGAAAAATTTGATATTGCTGAAGACGGTAAGTATTCGGATAGCAATAATAAATAATCCTAAAACAAAGATGTCTTAGAAATAACACTTCGTAATTATCTTGCCGTTGGCGTGCAGTGGGTTTCGCTAGTGACAGAAAACTTACTAAGTCATCCATTTATTGTCTTGCGTAGACAGTGTCAAGTTTTTAACACGTCAAATCGTTACCACATTCACCCAATAACACTACTGCCCAGTATATTAAATTTACAAAGGCGGCAAGGGTTAGCTACTTTATGGAAGGGTGTCGGTAGCTGCCTTCTTGTGCGTGGAATGACCCTGGCCATTGATGATATTATTTCCAAATTCACTGGTTGGCCTAAGGAAGTAAACAGTAAAACAACATTGAAGAGATTCGGACAACACATTCTCCTCAAGTGGTAAGACTTTTAAGAATAAGGTTAAAAGATTTTAAAAGTATATAAAGAAAAAATGCTTTATATATTTAAAATTGTACGTTGTGCAGTTTAAATTTTTTTGGTACATTTGTGTTACTTTTTCCAAACGAATTTATTGCTATCTGTTCATTGGAAAAAATTGTGTCTTGTTGTGTAACGCTTAAAGAATATTTTGTAAAATGTAAAGGGAGGAATTTTTGTAAATTACTTATGTATGTTCATATGTATGTATTATTAGGAACAATATTATTGGTATCGCGATATCCAAACAAACATTTTCCAATTAAAAATCTTTTTTTTTTTAAATATCTACACATGATTTCCCTTGCTTCATATATTTTGGCCATCCCTGAACCAAAGTCCAGAACAGCAATCAATTGACTTAAAGAAATTTATATGATTGTACCTTTTTTTTTTTTTTTAAAACAGGTTAAATTTTATTGTAGTCGCCGAAATCGTTCAGAACCATTTTAACATAAGCGGGCGCTTCATAGATGGGGTGAAAATGGTACATATGGGATATGGGCCTAGACTAAATGCAATAATTTACAATTAGTTACATTAATTTACAATACTAGTGAACAACACGGGAAGACAGATCGCTGGGGTGAAATCTCTTAAACGCCTAAAGGTTTGCGGGGTGTAATTGTACCATATATTAAATTATTATTTTTTTTTTTCGCGTTCTTTTAGAATTTGGAAATGCCTAGTGCATCAATAAGAGCTAGCATTCCTATATTCATCATAAAGCTTAGAGGCCCAGACAACCGAAGGGTGCTCGAGAAACTTTGGAATTGCCGACAACTTAGAGATGCCTCTGTAGTTGGCAGCATCGGACTTTTTCCCTTTTTTATGTAGGGAAATTAAGAATTATTCCTTCCACTTAAGGGGACCCCCCCCCCATTCTCGGTTTTAAAAAATCGATTTTTTTTTTTAATTTAATTCGAACTTATAACTCTTCAAGAATGTTCCCTGAAAATTTCAAGTCAAAATTTCAAAAACTCTTGAAGATATAGCCGATTTATGATGGAAGCCTCCGGCGACGGCGAGAGCCGTCTCAAAACTTTAAACGCGTTTTTCTCGAAACAGTGTTTTTACGACTGGCGCATGAGGTTACTCAAAAACTATTAATCAAATCGGTTCCAAATTTTAACACGTTATTCTATACATATATAGCTCTCGTATGAACTAGGATAAATCAAATCGGTGAAGATCTTCTTTACTTTTCAACTCGATTTGTGGCTGAAAAAAAATGAAAATTTTCAAAAAAAAATTTCAAAGGCCCGCCATTTTGTTAATTTTTGAGCGAAGTTAATAATCCTAGTTCATACGAGAGCCAAACATGTACTCTTTCTAATCTTTGATCACAAAAAACAACGACAAAAACAAAAAAAAAAAAAATTCTGTGAAATGGTTTTCTTCCTTTTTGTGTCTTAATATATGTAAGCACAGTTACAACCCTAAAAAATAATTTATGTTCATTTGCCAGCCCATTGAAAATCGTCAAAATTTAAAATCGAGAATGGGGGGGGTCCTCTTAAGGGGAAAAATCGAGGTTTCCAAAGATAAGTTGAAAAGTCTTAGAAGAGGCTTGCACAGAGCGCTGGCACAGTATTTTAGCACACAGCCTGGTGCCTGGCGGGGCCTGGCGAATAAATGGGTTTGATTTTTAGAAGATCAGATAACAAGTTTTTCTCAGAAAAAAACGGACAGAAAATAAGACTTGCTGCTTGAATGTTATATGCGTAAGGCTGATCTGTCAATTTAGGCGGAGAATAATTTGTTATTCAAAAAAAATTCTGCGAATAGATCGGCAATGGCCTGATAAGAGGTCGCAGAGGAATTTTCAAACGTAAGCAGGGGTGAAAAAGATACGTGTTTACGCTTAGTGTTTACCTAATTATAAAACTGCTTTGGATTCTGAGTAAATTGTATCCGGCAGCGGTGAATATAAATCCTGTAACATTCAGCGTTATGCACGGTAAAATTTGACCGAGCGTAGATATCTTGAAAAACCTACTGCAGGTTTTTTTTTATATTTAATGAAAAGCTTATTTTTAGTATTTTTTAGGTTAGTGAGGCAACTTGTAAACCAATTAGGATTTGTTGAAGCGGACGGATATTTCCATGGCACACATGAGTCAAAAAATGTATTTAAAGTAAAATTTCTTTAAGGTGGCGTTAAAATCAGTGCATGCCAGAATATCGGACCAATTATATGTATCGATAAGGCTATAAAGTTTGTGAAAATCGGCTTTACGGAAGCAGCGAATCTTATTTGGCATGCATGGAGACATCTGATCGATACCAGGAATGGTTTCGATTGAGACCTCCAGCGTGGGATGATATGGATCCTCTGGGGTTGAAAGGGGAAAAGCTCTGGAGAGAGCTGTACCATCAAGATCTGATACAAAACATAAGTCCAAAAGCCGACCTAACGAATTTCTAACATGGTTAATCTGACCTAGGGACATGTCAAACATGCCCGCGGTGAAGTCATGGTGAGTGATAAGTGATAAAGATGGTGAGTTATCGACGTTGGACCACTTTAATTCGCCCACAGCGACATGGAATGGGTTTGACCTTTAGAAGATCAGATAATAAGCTATACTCGATGTTATTCGACATTCTCTCGATGTGAATGTTGTATGCGTAAGGATGTTCTGTCATTTTAGGCGAAGAATAAGTTGTTTAAAAAAAATGTTGCGAATAGATCGGCAATGGCCTGATCAGAGGTCGCAGATTAAAAACGGATTGAATAGCGGACAAATGCTGCCAATATGTGGGCGGTTCAGACGAAAACGGTATATACGAACATGTAAAGTATAAAAATTTCTAGGACAAAACGATATTAATGCAAATAAACTCAATGTGACCAAACTCTTGTGATTTCACCTTTTCAGAAGCAAGTTGGGAGTCTACCGAAATGAGGACTTCGCTGAGGTCGATCCCTTCTAAAAGTGGTGTATTTTAGAGGTCTGCAGGAATACATTCTTATTGCCTCAGCCTAAGAATACATCCGAATGGAATGGAATGAATGAGTGCAAGAGACACAACGAATTGAGTGAGAGAGCATTCTAACTCATGGGCATTCTCTTGCTTTGAAACAGAGTGAGTTTGGGTGGAAAGTAAAAAGAGTGTTTTTGGAATGAGGAATGAAGCCGAATGTCTCGAATGGTTTTTAACACACTCTATGCATTCATTTATTTTCTTCTGTTAAGCAAAACGCTTCCTTAATACTTCTTTAATAATGAAGGAATTGACCGAAAGGTGAATTGTGATGAAAATGTTTTTTTTATTTATGGTATTTATGTTATTATTATTTTCTTAGTGATTTTTGTTTAGTTTTTTCAAATTAAATTATTTTACAAAATTTTTTTAGCGGCAAAATTGTGCTGGAAAATTATTTATTAATAAATATTGAAAATGTTTTTACATTCTTATAAGTAAAATATGTAAAATAAATTATACAGCATAATAATGAATATATCTGAAAAAAACAATGACTTACTTCCACTTTTGAATTATTTTATTATCAGCGTCTAAAAAAACAGGCAAATGTGCATAGTTGTATCGTATATTCTAGAATGCATTTGAAACAATTCGAATGCGAACTGTAACTCTAACTCATTCAATGCTATTCATGCAGACCTCTAGTGTACTTACTTGGCAAAACTTCAGAGCTAAAGATCTGCGGCTTTAACCAAGTTTCTGTAAAGGCTATAATATGGGATGCAAAGAAAAAACTATCAGAATATAGTTTGGAGAGTTTACTACATAGCCCCCTAGTATTCTGATAGGTAAGTGTCACGGAACTAGGCTGATGTTCTTGGACGAAAATATTCTCTGGCCAAAAACTGGGTGAACAAATCGTCTGGAACATTAGCGTGGGCCGACGAATATCGAAAGAAGACGTGCGCCGTATATAATAATATTTAAATTAAGCTATGTCCCCCACCTTTATATCGGCGTTTGTTTTGGATTTGATATAAGCAGAGATATCAATCGCTGAAGTATCAGGGGCAAGCCGAGAAACAAATATATGTTTCGATGGAGGAATCCCCTGCAAGGGTTTTGGTGTCGCAGGTACGAGAACTGCAGCATCAGTCGGTGCGGGTGGTCCGGTCTGTGGAATACGCTTTTGGGTGACTCTAACGGGGGTTTCGTTCTCCCAAAACGGGGGTTTCCCGTGGCATCACTTGAAGGGATGCCATGGCGGACATATCGGACAATTGCTCATTTTCCCTAAGAAATTCGGATGAATTGTTCTCAGTTCTAGCCCTTGGGGTGGTCAGAGGTATGAGCGGCTGCATTAATGTCGGCTGAGGCGGATCAGAAACAGCGGATTTCTTACGCTTAGGGGACTCATTTAGCAGCTGAAGGCCACTAAACTGAGTGTCAAGCGCACTGAGCAGGTCATTGATTTTACGAAAACCATTGATCAGCTCTTTAATTCCATTCTTGGTCTGTCTCATGAACGACCTCATTTCGCCTTAGACAGCACGACAATTTTCACAACAATAATGTATACCGGACCTACGAGAAATGGCATCCGAAACTGAGGCAGTGAACCCGGCACACTAGGCGTGTACGACGTTTTCACAAAGCCAGCAATGGATGGTAGGCTGGGATGAGGAAATTGTGTTGTTACAAGACTTCATAGAACAGACCAGTTTAAATTCCATATTTTTAATTAATAAAACAAAATTAATATATAAAAAGTTAAAAAAACATCATACCTTGAACCACTGAGTCAAATAGGAAGTCGAAGCGAGAGCTTTGGAGAGTGCAAAGGAAAAATGCAGAAATAGAGATAAGACGGGGAAAAAGCAGAGCTATGCTTGGAATCGAATTTAGACAAATTATTAATTCGCCTTCAAATATACCACAGCACTCGCGAAGCGATACGGTTTAGGTTAAAACTTAGGATTCTCAATAGATTCGATTCACAAGTAAGTTAACACCGGTTTACCAATATTTAT